ACAGTACTTATTACAAGAGAAGACAATATTACTGCCGCGGTTATTATAAAAGATAATAATTGGTAGAAGGCTCAGCACTTAATAATAATGGCTGCTCTTGTGAAGTTCTTGGGTTTAATTTCAAGCACCCACATGATGGTTCACTCTAACCTAACACTGCAGTTTCAGGATATTCAATGCCCTCGTTCTGGGCTCCTCTAGTACTGCATGGATGTTTTACACAGACATACATGCAGGCAAAATACCTATACATATAAAATAAAATAAATCTCAAAAGGCTAATAAAAATAAAACATTATTTCTGACTATAAATTGAAAAGAGGAAATACAATACATGATTCACCAGATATGGGAAGGATAATACATTTTTTTCTAAATTAGTAACAATTATCATCTAGTATAATGTCTCAAATCTGAAATTTGAGCTCCCAATAAATTATTGGTCATGCTAGCACATAGTTTACATGGTAGATAACTTTCTACGGTTAAAAAACCATCTACATAATTTACCCAGCAACTCAAATTGTTAGAAATTATTTAAACTTGATACCAACCTGTACTGCTTAGAATCCATTCATTAGTTAATCAATACATTTACATAGTTAAAATACTTTAATTATAAAATAAGTGTGCAGTTACTAAAGTTGAGAAGGTTCCAGTTTCTAGCATTATTCTGACTTTATTTTAAAATTTTCACATGGTAATTGAATAAACTTTTATAGCTGTTTTGTTAGATTTAATTATTTCAATGAATGTGGTGGTTTGAAAGAAAATGGCCCCCATAGGCTCAAAGGGAGTGGCACTATTAGGAAGTATGGCCTTGCTGGAATTTTGTGAGAATCCGCAAAATTGAGCTCCCACGAGGTATGGCGCTGTCAGAGGAAGCGTGTCACTGGGGCTGTGCTTTGAGTCTCAAATGCTCAAGCTAGGTTCATTGACTCGTGCTCTCTCTCTCTTGCTTTCTCTCTCTTCCTGCTGCCTGCAGACCCTGATGTAGAACTCTCAACCATGTCTGCCTGCATACCACCATGTTTCCTGTTAGGATAATGAACTAAACACCTGAAACTGTAAACCAGCCCCAATTAAATGCTTTCCTTTATAAAAGTTACTGTAGCCATAGTGTCTCTTTACGGCAATAAAAACCCTAACTCAGACAATAATTCAGGAAAGGAAAGAACCAAATGAGCCTCAGAAGATTAGTATAAACATGTTTTGGAGAGTGAACCAAAGACAACAAGTAGAAACTTTTTAGATAGAACCTGTCAAGAATATAGAAGAACTGAGTGGTAGCAGTAATGCTGAAAAGCATAGAACACATTCCAGAGACAAAAATAAAAGTATTTAATTAAAGAAAAGATTACAGAAACATGAATGACACAAGTTCTGAGAATAAGAAATAACAGAATAATTAAAGGAAACAGACAAAAACTTTACGTGAGAGAAAACATCAAATTATTGTTTGAGTTCAGTTTGCCTTCCATATCCATATCCATGAGTTCTGCATTTGCCATAGATTCATCATTAATGAATACAACATATTCAGAAAAATATATCTGTAAATTAACAAGTATAGACTTTATTTTGCCATTATTCCCTAAAACAATTTAATATATATAAGATAGATTAGATAGTTTAAATTATATATATATAACCTAAATTTTATATATATGTATATATATATATATATCACTGATACTGTATTAGATATAAGTAATCTGGAGATGATTTAAACTATATGGAAGAATATATACAAGTTATGGGCAAATATGTCATTTTATATAAAGGCCATGAACATCTGTGGATTTTGATATACTTGGTGTCTTAGAATGAATCTACTATATATGTCAATAAATTGTTTTATATGCTCATAGGATAGCCAAATAATAAAACAAATCAGGTTAAAAAATGAAAATCAGGCAAGAAGCCAAGGTAAAGAAATTTGAAGATGGGAGATTTAAGGGGAAATATGAGGTAGGAGGGTGGCCAAAGCCAGGTTCCTTGGAACAGAAAATGGATCTTTTAACAATGATAGGTAGAAACTTGACTGGAGAAGTTCTGTTAGTGCACACTTAAAGGTTAGGTACAGATTTTTCTTACATTTGCATTTCATTCCTAAAGAGTTCAAACTGTAAAGTGTTTAATAATATTTCTACTTTACTACATTGCCATTTCACGAAGCAGCATACGGCACTTCTCAAAGGGAGAAGGTGGTGTTTGTGTTTCCAGTGACCCTCATACGATCTTTCCTACCACAGCCACAGACGTACTCAGATATGAGGATCAGAACGCCTTTTCCCCTTAGAGTCCTCAGACTGCTACAACTGTCATGGAATCTATTCATATCAGCACAGCACATTTCTTCTAAGGAACAGATGTGAACACAGAATTCCATTTTTACTGAAGTGTATGATCATTTCAATCACATTTTGACTCATTTTTCTTTCCCAGCTTTCCCCATATTTTTTTCCAAATAGCAAATGTTTTGCACTGAGCCACTTCCCTAAATTATACAATCCAACATTTTAAATAAAGCAACGTTTATTGCCTCAAACAAGACTGGCATTGTCATCTTATAATTCACTGTTTTCATATGGCCAGGTCCTTCGTAGCATGTTTTCTTAAAATTAAAGAAAACCTCATTTGGTCTTGCACCTGTGGATACGTATTTCAGGTGAATAACTCGAGCTGTTTCCCAAGTAGCTAGATTATCAGCTGACACTTGAAAGCAATGAATGTGTGTCCAGCCAGGCTTTATTTCCTGTCTTGGGAAAACAAGAAGCTTGCATTCACTTGAGTAGCTGTGGTTTAGGACACTATTTGGTAAACCACGACACCTGCAAAAGCAATGTCCAAACACCTCAATTCCCCCGAATCCCACCCTTAGGGTCGTTTTAGCTTCTGCATAACAGTGGTAAGGGCCTTCAGAAACTGAAAATATACCAATGTTCAATCTGAGGGCAGCTACCTCCCAAAGTTGTTTAAATTCAAATCCTAATGCGCTAATGCCTGGCCCCAGTCTGTGGGGCAAAAGCCCAGCCAGCTAAGGCTGGGTGCCAACTCTAGTTGCCACTTGCTCACCCTTCCTGCCGGCTGGGGCTAGAGTGCTTGAGCCAGGGTGAGCCTTTGACACCGCAGTCTTTTGCCCAAATTTAAATGCTTTCTATTCAAATCATCTGCTTTCAGCCTGGTAATTTTGGGATGTTTAGCCCAGGGCAGCCCACAGATTGGAAAGTTTAAAAAGTAAGCCAGCATCTCAGAGCTGTAGCCACTGCTTCAGGTCCAGCCACTGAACTATGGGACAGCAGTGGGGCCACATAGCTGAGCTGGCGAAGGAAACAAAAGATTGACTAGAGTAACGGCAGGCAAAGCCATCTGAAGCCTAGACTTTGAGACACCTGGGAATTTGCAGCTCCCTAGGTCCCAGGCTAATTGCCTGATTTCCATCGGGGTAAGAAGAACCTGTTCGGAGCCACAAGACAAGAAGGAAAGCAGAGAAAGCAAAGTGTCTGTGACCCTGTAGGCAGAGCACAGCATTATCGCCAGAAAAACTATAAGCCCTGAAATTGTTAGGGACAGCCTATGCCCACCACAATTGTGTGGAGATACAGAAGTGCCAGTTCTTTAGATGGTCCCCAACATCCTACAACTGTCCTAGACACTTAATTCCCTCCTTTCCAGGGACTGTACAATGTCTAAGAAACTTGTACAATTTCAAGAACATCTTTCCTCTCTCTCCCTTCTTTGGGTCTTTCTAGTTTGCACCACATGCTTCTCCTGGCCAGAAAAGCAGCAGTATTACTCCTGGAAAGTCTACACAATCTGTGATTGAGTATGTTGGTGATGCGCAGGTACTGCTTCCTATTCACCAGCACGATAGATAGTCTTAAACAGACCCCCTTTCCAACACTGCCACCCCTTCCACCCCTTTTGTAAATTCCAGGCAGCTTTCAGCCTAGCTGGACTTTTCCTGTACTTTATAGCAATGGCAACTTTTGCAGGGAAGAATCGAGTCTCAAATACTGGCTTACTAATGTCTATTCCTAAGTCCCTAGGTTGCACTAGGTTGGGGGTAACTCGGAGGACCAGAAGAAACAACCACTGGAGCAGAGAACTGTAACATATGCTCAGCTTTCCAGATCTCTCTGCCAAAGCACTTTCTTTCTTTCGTTCTCTCTCTCTCTCTCTCTCTCTCTCTCTCTCTCTCTCTCTCTCTCTCTCTCTCTCTCTCTCTCTTCCATGCATGATAGTAACATCAAGCACTTTGCTCCATTTCAGAGATGCAAATCAAGATGAGCCCCTTGAGGGTTATTCTTTCTAAACTGCCTCTCTGAGATCCCCCTCACAAGGAATCTGAGGAGCAACTTTAAGAATGGGTCCTCTTCACCCTCTAGCAACAGTGAGAAAAGGTTTTCGTGCAACCTGGAAACCCCTGCTCAAGGCGGCAGGGAGGATTTTCTTTCAGGATGAAGAGAGCATCTCAAGGTGTGCGGAAACACTCCTTTAAGTTTTTATAAAGACAGGCAGAGATGGTTCTGGGTCACCAGCAGTCTTGTGCTCCACCGGGATTCCCAGATGCAGGAGTCCATATTGGGAACCCCCTGCTGCTCCACCCAGCAACCACCTGAACCCCAATCTCCATGGTTGCTCTGGCCATAGGCAAAAAAGTAAAATAAAAACAAAAATAAATTAAAAAATATTTAAAAAAGCAAATCGGGAGCACCCAGTGGGAAACTGCCTTTCAGATTGTAAAGTCACGTCTCAACCACAGACCACAAAGATCTTGCTGGAAAAATACCTCATCCAGCAGGTTCCTATAGGCAAGCACTCCTGGTCCTAGACTTTCAATGAGGGCTTAAAGAGAAAAAAAGAAACAGGCGAGTTTCCAAGTGGGGAAACTCCAGCAGGACAACTAGAGCTTCTATAGACTTAGCTTCCCATATGCCCGAGAGTGACTATCCACAAGAAACAACTCTCTGTCCCAGAAGTCAAGTCTGCCTTACCCGAGTCTTGCAAAAAAAACAGCAAGGTTTAGCAGGTCTCAGGCGTGTACTTTCATATCCAGGGCGAGATGGAGGACAGAGTTCCGAAGAGCGCAGGCTTCCAGGGTGGTCAGAAAAGCTTCCCAAAGATGAATGGGATGAGGAAAGCCTTTGAAAGACGGTGTCTCCCAAGCAGTGGGCACAAAGTCTCCACCAGATTCCCTCCACTCCCAGTCCTTCGCCAACGAGGATGCCAGGGAAGTTCGGAAGATTCCTGGAGTTCAGTGACTCTTCCGTGGACTTTGCGGGGAACCTGAGAGGGGACGGGTTACAGGAGGGTTCCTAAATAATTAGGCTCTTTAGTTAGAATGGCAGGTACCACCTCTCAGCTCAGTGACTGATTCTCGAAGGTGCCCGCCTCCAAGATTCTTCGGAGCGACTTCGTTTTGGTGCAACCTCCTTCCAGCCGCACCTCGTCAAGCCAAACGGTGCGCGCCACACTGGGACGCCAGGACGCGGGGTGCCTCAGCCCGCGGCGTAATCACCGCTGGTGGGGCAAGCGAGCTCCAGAAGACAGCGGAGCCAGCGGCTCAGCCAGCCTGCGGTGCAGGCAGTCCGCACGAATCCCGCTCGCCCACCTGCCTTTCGCGCCTCTCCAGCGCTTCCCAGAGTCCTCCGGTCGGTGCGCAGAAGCCACTGGCCTCCAACCCTCAAGGAGCTGAGTGCGGGGAGTAAGCCCCGCGCTCTTCTCACATCCTGCCACCGTCGCTAGCGCCTCCGAAATATGCCTAGAGTAGGGAAGTGGGAGGGTAGTGGAAGTCACCCAGAGCCTGGGCTTCGTTGTTAACAGTTTGGTGCCTCCTGGCTGACTGACTGCAACCAGGAGGTGCGAATTAGAGAAGGACCACTCTGGCGCGTCATGGCAAAGGGCCGCTGCTGCTCCTCCTCCTCTTTCACACCCCCTTTCAATTTGGGAGCGCCAGGAGGGAAGACCGGATGAAGAGAGTGGGGGAGAGAAGCTGCCAACCTCAAGTCCCCAGTCCCCCTGGTTTAAAAACGCGCTTCTCTTACCTTTCCCGGGAGAAGGGAAGCGTGTCGCTGCAGCGCCGTCTAGCGTCCTTCCCAAGGCTGCCATAAAGGGTTGAGGCGAGCAATCAGCTTGCTCAGTGCAGGTGTGGGAAGTCAGGAAAGCAAAGTTTTTCAGCTTTTCTGGTCCCCGGTTCCAGTCACTGGACACAATTGCTAGCCCAAACGGCTACGCACCTGCTTGGTTCCATGCAGGCTATAACTTAATGATTTTTAAAGACGAAGGTACAGATTGCTTGATTTTAGTTATAATTAAGCTCTCCAGTACTTAAGAGAACCCTTTTCCAGTCCACCCCCCCCCGCCCCGCCCTGTGTTAAAGACCCTAAACTCCCACTGTTCTCAAGTCCCCCAGGCCTTAAATCGGGCAGGTAATATTCTGGGACGTGGGGAAGGTCTTACAGTCAGACCCAGAACTGCGATTACTCTTCCTTATACCCGAAGGCTCATCAGCCATGCTCCTGAACACCTGCTCCCCAGATGCCAGGCAGCCCCAAACCACCCTCTTAAGCGCTAAAACAGAGACTATCACCCGAGAACCTGCGGGATCTAGACAGCAGCGGTGCCCAGTACAGTTTCTACCCTAAGTCTCTTCCCCAGCATTCCCGTGGGTTTTCGATACCGTGCTGATTAACGTACTTAACAGGATTGCTCATTTAACGGGTCAGCTGAGCGCTGTGCGCTAGAATTTGCTGCTACACTGAGCTCCTATTAATTTATCTTTCTGTGCACTTTCTCCAGCTGTTCTCCCGAGGCTGCTCCAGTGCTCCGCATTAGCCACAGAAAGTCAGCTAGCACGGGAGACAGAAACGAGGACCAGGAGGGGGTAAGCCCTTGGTGTGCCTTTGCGCAGCGCAGATCCATGCCTTTCTAGTTGGCTTTCTTTTCCTGACCCCCAATCGAAGTGCACTCAACTTTTAAAATTAAAGCCTGTGGGTGGTTAAAGTTACTCTCCATTTTTCATCAAGTTCACTCGCTCACACTCCTTTCCCCTTTATGGATCATTCTTCTTAACATATTTCACAAAACCACACCTCATGGCATATTCCTTCTGCAACTGGATTTAAACTTGGAAACCTTGAGAAGTCACTGTGAATGGAAAAATCCTTCTAGGTAGGCAGCAATTGGCAGTGCCAACCACTCTCCCTGCTTTTTTTATTGTTGCTGTTGTTTATATGCATGCTTGAGAGGTGTTTTTGAAATAGAAAATGCCCTACAATTTCAGTTTCTGTTTGTTAACGATTCTTTGGTTTCCCATAAACACATTCCCTAGACAGGGATGGCCAGCTGGTTCTCCTTCGTCCTGTTACAGTGCTCCTGAAAACTTCTCCGCAGGCTTGCCCAGCAGCGACCTTCATCTACATCTCAAGCCAACCCCTGCTGGGTCTACATCACCATCACTGGCACTCATGATGCTTGCTTCCATCCAGCTGGCAGGCCATCAGCAATACACACAGGGTGTGATCCACAGTAGAAGAACACCTTTTCCCAGACTCTTATCCCTTGGTTAGGTCACAAGTGTACACACACTGACCTTCACTATCATGCCGGTCCTCAAGCTCCGGGCTTAGATGATTAGCTGAGATGTCCTGGGTGAAGACATATGGCTAAGCTATAAAACCCTTCACTTACATTAGAAGCCAGTAGTCAGGGTTGGTGGAACTCATTTACGATACTGGCCAGTGTTTCCCTCAGCAAATCATCAAGTAGGAAGTCTAAACATTTAACCCGGAAATAGACCTGAGCATGGTAGGCACTATGCCAACAATCCCAGCACTAGGGGCTCACGGAATAATAGAATTGCCTTGCGTTTAAAGTAAACCTGAGCTACATACTGAAACTCTTGTGTCAAAAATAAATAAATCTTTATAAATGCAGTCATGCCATTGATCAACTTAAAACCAACTTTCTACACACAGTTTTACATAGCTTCACTCAAGAACTGGCACCTGTTTATACACTGTACTCCACCTTTGGCACCAACCAAACTATACTATTTTATGTGGCTGCCATTCCTTCAGTACTTTCTCTGTTGATCAGGACTGGTATTTAAGTCTCAAGAATGTCTAAATCTGGCTGACCTGTGTAACATGAGGGCCGGCTTCTTGGGGTTTCTGTCCCGCCCGGTACCCCACAACCGGCATACCCCAAGGAAAATCACACACAGGACTCCATAAGATTATAAACTGATTGGCCCATTAGGTCAGGCTTCTTATTAGCTCTTATAACTTATGTTACCCCATTATTCTTATCTACGTTAGCCACATGGCTCAGTACCTTTTCCAGTGGGGCAGCTTACATCTTTCCTCTCCGGTAGTCTGGGCAGTACTGATGGGGGAGCTTCCTTCTCCCTAGCCTTTTCCTATTCTCATTGCCTGCCTCTACTTCCTGTCTGGTTGACCCGCCTATACTTCCTGCCTGGCCAATCAGCGTTTTATTAAAATACATGATTGACAGAATACAGACAATTCTCCAACACCAGACCTGGCTGTCCTGGGTAACATCATCCTTCACCAGAACCTTTAAGAAGATTTTACACAATTGGGTATTTAAAGTACCCTGGAGGGTCTGGATTTTCTTGGATTGAGAGAGATTGTTGATTCCCATCAAAGACTGCCACTTGTTTAGCCAGTCCTTGCAGTCTCATTAATGGCTAAACTGTATTTCTAAAGGAGTCGGGGTTATGGTACCGAATAATACAGAAAAGAAATATGCTCAGAAAAAGAGAACAGCTCCAACTTGGTGATACTTTATGCTTTAGTACTTTGTTAAAGCTCACTCTAATCCATGAACCAGCAGTGCTTAGAAATATAGACTGTCCAACTTAGGTCTAGGCCTAATCAATCAGGAATTGTAACTAATAAGATTACCAGCTAACTTCATATACACATAAACATTTGGAAGAGCTTTCTTTTTAAGAAATTCTTTCAGCTCATCAACCCCAGAAGAGCAAAGGGACAAAAAGTTTAATTTCCCAAGACCTACTATCAAGTTCTTTATCACTGAGAAGCACTTTTTTAGAAGGCCACATTCATATTTGTTTAGGCTAATTGGGGCCAGACTAATTGAAAGCCAAGGAGCATCTTGAATTTATGATATGTGCCCTTTCTACAGATGGTCTTGCTGCACAAAAAAGAATACCCTTAGTTCCACGACAGGAATAGGGAGAGTGTTGGCATGGCTTAATACAACTAACAACTAACTCAACTGTTACTGCTAAACTAACAAACCAATCCCTCTGTCTCAATAGGATAAAGTTCATAATCTTCCTAATTAAAAAAAAATAGACCTTACAGTGTTCTCCAAATCTCAGCTGCTTACTGATTCATCCTGATAAGAGCTAGCAGACATCTAGTGAGGCAAAGGTCTTTAAAATGTTAAGAACTGGTATAACCAGCCTAGCAGTGGTGGCACAGGCCTTTAATCCCAGCACTGGGGAGGCGGAAGCAGATGGATCTCTGTGAGTTACAGGCCAACCCTGTCTACAGAAACAAGTTCCATAACAGTTTGGTCTGTCTCAAAAACATCAAAAAAAACTGGTATGACCAACTTTTTTAAAAATTACATACAAATGTACCTTTTCTACTGAGACAAATTTAAAAATTTTCTCACAGAAAATTAAGAGGAGATACTAGATAGCAAATGTTTACCGTGTACCTACACCAGGTACCTCACATTCTTGTTCCTAAACATTGTTGATGGTCAAAATTACTGATCTTATATATGGAAATCTCAGTATTAGGTTTCCTTAAGTACTGAATATGTTTCTAATCAAAGGTTAGAACTCATGAAAAAAATCTTACTACAAAGAAATTAATCCTTTCTAAAAACAAACAACAACAACAAAAGAAATACTATAAATAAAGTTAAAATAGAAGAAGCTGTAACATGTAAGCAGAATCAGGACATTTCAAACAGCAGTGTTTTATAAACATATAAAGAGCTCTTACAAATCAATTTGTAGCCGGGCAGTGGTGGCACAAACCTTTAATCCCAGCACTTGGGAGGCAGAGGCAGGCGGATCTCTGTCAGTTCAAGGCCAACCTGGTATACAAGAGCTTGTTCCAGGACAGGCTCCAAAGCTACAGAGAGATTCTGTCTCAAAAATCCAAAAAGAATAATAATTTATGAAAAGTCAATCCAACAGAAAAGTAATCAGGGCCAGTGAAAGGGTCCAGGAAGTGAAGAAACTTGTGCAAGCCTGGCCCAGTTTGATCCCCAGAACCCAAATAAAGGGAGAAGGAGAGAACTAATTCCAAAAGTTTTTCTCTGATCAAAACCATGCCATGGCACACATGTGTGCATGCATGTGCATGCACACCAATACACATATAAACAAGAATAACAATAATAATAATGTGACATTGTAAAAGATAATAGACTAAGGACATAAAAGTACCGAAATTTTAGGACCAAGTGGAAATACATAAATTTAAAAAGAATTGCAACTTAAACTATGACAAAGAATGAATAGTGTATGCAAGCAAGAAGAAAAGCAAATTATCTCATTCACTTGGCTGGAGTAAAGAAATGAGGGCAATAACACCTGAGGAAAATGTGTCAATGTCTACTGAAATTGCAGATATATACACAGTCATATATTCAAAGCTATTTCCAGGTGAACACATAAGAACAGGCAACTGTGGCTGGTTTTTGGAAGAAAGGTGATGTGCAATGAGAAGCAGATTTATGTTCAATTGCATATTTTGGTACACTGGACTAGTTTTCATTTGATCATTATACAAGTTCACGTTTATACCTTTTATTGTGTGATTTTGAGTGCCTCCTACTCCATGGAATCTACCATGAGAGCCAG